TCCAGTGATCCACCGGATTGCTTTCTTTTGAAATCGCTCCAACTGCAATTGATCCCCCCTCGATATATGTGTACATGAGAGTCCGTATAATAACACTGGGAGTATTAGTGACTTATACAGGCCTAACTTTACAAACGTATTTATCTTTGCTGATAGGTTTCTTCTCAGGAGGTACAGTACTTGGTTTGCCTTCTTTAATCTTGTTTCAATGTGTACCTTCCAACTTAAATCGCCCGACACAAAAATTCCCAGATCTTTCACAACCATCGATGTTCCAAGCACTACACCAAAAAGCATAGAGTTGGCGTCTCCGCCCCTAAAACTTACTTTTGCACATTTATCTAGTGCTAATTCCATTTTGTTTTCAGTTACCCACTGCTGAATTTTGTCCAGATCTTCTTGAATTTCAATTGATGTTTTTTTGATGGAAAGTAGTTTAAGATCATCCGCAAAAATATATGGTTCAGAGAATTTGAGTACTTCAGGTAGGTCGTTAATAAAAATGCAAAAGAGCAGTGGTCCTAAAAGTGATCCTTGGGGAACACCACTAGTGACTTCTAAAACTTTTGAGCTGATATTGTCTACTCGTACAAACTGTTTCCTGTTTTTCAAATAGTCATAGAGTACCTCTAACATGCAGCCTCCTATTCCTATAAGTGCAACTTTCTTGAGTAGATCAAAATGCGGAACTTTATCAAAGGCTTTTGCAAAGTCAGTGTAGACTGCTACAATTTCTGCGTTTGAGTCATTGTCAAGCGCTTCATATATTTCTTTCAGGAAGGAGAGCATGTTTGTCAAAACTGATCTACCTTTAGTAAAACCGTGTTGATGTTTCGTCAAATACCAGGCAAAGTAAGGGTACAGGTCTTTGTATATACATTTTTCAAGGACTTTGCTGTCAATATTTAATAGCGATACTGGTCGATAGTTGTTCACCAATTTTCGGTCACCTTTTTTGTGAACAGGAGTAACTGCAGCTGTTTTCCATGAATCAGGTATTTTTCGTAGGCGTTTTACGTTTCTCAAAATTTTGTTCATCGGTTTGCATATATTGCGGTTCGTTTTCTGAAAAAAGCTAGGTGGCAACCCATTTGGGCCGCGTGACTTTGTTACGTCCAGAGTTGATAAAATCTCACTTACTGTCTTTTTCGATATATCAAAATTCGTTAACAAGGGATTTCCAAATTGAATATCTCTAATACTAAAACTTTCTTTAGGATTAAAAACTGAATGAAAGAAGTCGTTTAGCATGTTGACTTGTTCGTTTGGATTTGTGCTTTCAACTTCATCTTTTATGAGTAACTTAGGAAGACTTGTATGTTTATTCAAGTTCTTTAGGTGTTTAAAAATTACATTAGTGTTCCGTGTTCTAAACAATTCCTCTTGGTAGTTTTTCCTGTCCACTTCCGATGATTCAGTTACTAAATTTTCAAACAGTTTAACTTGTTGTCTTCTGTAGTTGGTCGGTTTGAGTATACATGATTGCCGTTTTGTTTGTAACTTTTTGATCAAATTTGAAGTGCTACTTGTTATCCAAGGTGGAAGTGATTGCCTATGTCTTGTTCTGAGAGGCACAAAACTCTTAATGATTTCATCCAAATATTGGGTGTACTCCTCATGCATTTTGTTAATGTTTGTGTGGCATACTGGTTCAAATGGGTTCTCGTTTATAAAATTGTTTATTCCTTCAAAATCGGCATTTCCAAAACTTCTAAAATTTTCCAAGTATGGTTTCGGCTCTGATACCGTGCATTCAATAGACAACATTATGGCATTGTGATCTGAGCAGTCATAAATCTTGGAAACGTTAAAATCTTGTTCGGCACTTGTATAGCAATTCCGATAGAAGGCTACGTCTAGTATGTTCTTCACACATGTTGGGAAATCTATCGCCTGCCTAAAGAGTCCATTTTCAAAAATTTGCAGTATTTGGTTTTCTTCCTCGTCAGTACTGGTGAGGGTGTTCCAGTTTGTTTCTGGGAAATTTAAATCCCCACATAAGAGAAACGGTTTGTTTTTAGGAATGGCTTTGATCAGTTGTTCAAATTCATGCACTTTGTATCTGTAATTACTGTTTTTTGGCGGATTGTAGAATGAGCCAATTATCATTTCAGTTTGATGAAGTTTTATACTACATAGCACACATGAATCAGGAATGTCATGTTTGGTGGATAAGTCCTCGGTAATTAGACTATTCTTGACAGCTATTAGGCTGCCTCCGTGACAGTTTTTACCACTCACAATAGCTCTATCAGATCTATAGATGTTATATTCACTTAGAAAAAGCTCTGATGATTGAATATTCTCGTTAAGCCAAGTTTCGCTTAAGCATATGACATTAAAATTTCCAACTGCAATTGCATTTGCTAGCTTAGTTCTTCTCTCTATGTTGATTAGGCTTCTAGTATTTAGTTGCAGAATGTTGAGGAATCCTAGTCAATGCTGGGGTTCCTGAACTTCATTGTCAATAGTTACTTTCACACCATCATTGAACAATTCTAGATTCCTTATTTTCAGCTTTTCGCGAGGAACGCCTTCATCTAGTAGTTGTCTTCGTTTCTTAAGGATTTCGTTCTCTTTAATTGCACTCTCTTTGGTCAATGCTGGTAGCAGGTAGACCTCTTTTTCGACCAATTGTTCTCGCTTTTCTCGGCTTTTTGCTAGTACTAGTCGTGCTTCATGTTCGCTAGGTACAGTTACCAGCAGTGTTCTTGGCTTCATTCGATTACGATCAAATTTTCCCAGTCGTTTTAGTTCTATTATTTTCGGCTTCACTCCAATTATGTCTAGTATTTCGTTTACTTCGTCATTTGTTGGGACAAGGTTTTCTCCTTTTGTTTTCTCAGGGTCCTCTTTGACCCCTTGTATCCTAAAACTTTGATTTATGTTGTGATCAGAGTTAGATCTGGCAGCATGTTGAGTGGTTTGAGCTTGATTTATCCGGGTGGTGGTTTCAGCAGCTACAACGGCACTATAAGTTTTTTCCACTTTATCGCATGTCGTTTTCATTGCATTTCCAATTTTTTGATCTACTAAATCGGTAAGTCTTCTTTCCATGCTTTTAAGGCTTTCAGTTACATCAATGTTTGAGAGCTTCTCGTCTATGTTGGCCAGGGTTTTGCATCTTATAAAGTTGTCTCGTTCATTATTTTGCACACAAGTATTACAAAGCAACATGACATTCGGCCCTAGTTCTTTTATTCCATTTATGGCCACTAGAGACAACCCAACACAAGTTGGTTCCAAATGCATTTGAGCGTTGCATGCGACACAAGTGTATGTTTTCTCGTTGCTGGCAAAGCCTCTTTTACATGTTTTGCAGTTTTTGCCCATTTTTGCTTATACTATGGATAGAAAAACAGTTAAGCCTGGTGGTTCCCGAAAAGGGGAGGCCTGTGGCTCACTCAGGGGAAAAGAAGAAATAGACAAACCTGGTGGTTCCCGAAAAGGGGAGGCCTGCGGTTCACTATTTCTACTTACGTTAATAGGGGCACTGACAGTTCTTGAAACGACACTCGTAATATACCAGATGTCCTTCTGTATTGCAGATGTTCGAATGTTTATCGTATAAGATTTTATTCTTGAGAATACTTTTAATGCCCTTCAGACCTTCTTCACTGAGGTGCACTTCGTCAGTTTTCAAATGATATGAGCTGTGGATTTTTTCACTCACTCCTCTAAACTTCCAAGTTCCTTTTATCTTTCTTAGGAATTCGTTTATTTTTGCAGATCGAGCTCGGTTCTCACTACGATGAGGGATTCCGATGACGAAAACTTTTTTGGCTCGTTCACACAGCTCCTCGGCTAGCTTCGACAGTTCTTCAGCAATGTCGCCTGCAGGTATACTGGAGGGGTCTTTTCCGTTGAAGGCGTCGTTTCCGCCGATGAGCAGAGCGATGATGTTGAATTTGTCTTTCTCGGGTAAGAAGTTTTGGACCGCACCAATTCGGGCCCCAGGTAGGGACAAGATATTGAAATTTGGAAAATCAAGATGGCGTGCTTGAGAATCCGCAATCAGGAGATTTTTTGAAGATGATGTCTTGAGCAAGTGATATCTTCTGTCGGACAATTTCATCGCGGGGCAACCATTGCTACCCCGGTAAACATTTCAACTATCTGAAACTATTTAAAATAGGTTACAACCGTTATGAACCAAAAGCTACGAAAGACATGTTCGAATTGAATAATCGTGACACAAGGACAAATGACAAGAAAGTGATAACGAACAAGGCCAACTTCGAATTGCGGAAAATTTTTTTGTACCATTATATCAGCTACAGATTGGAACATGTTGCCAGGAGAAGTAATTGACTCGAAGACATTGAACGCTTTCAAGAACAACCTGGACAAACATTGGAAGAAAAGTGGAATTAATAAATTTGGGACGAATTAATCGAAAAGGAGTTCATCGAGCTGATCGATAGAGGCGACAAAACGCCTAAAAGATCAGAAAAAGAACTGAACTGAACTCATCATAATTCTTTAAAAAATCTGATTGATATTGCAATTGATAAATTGGCCCAGTTTAATTTAACGTTTGCGTTAAATATCGTTATTTTGTTATATTTATTTGAATAAGGTTTTTTTTCACGTTCAACTTTATATTAGAATCAACGGAGGTGCGAGTCATATTTTATATGCGAGTCATAAATAAATATTACTCGCCCCAGAGGTGCGAGTAATATTTTTTTTCTACAAACTTCCGATTTTATTTCTGAGATTGTTACAATGCTTATCAAGTCCTCTTTGATAGTTCTTAGTGTCTTGCTGTTTTAGTCTTTTACTTGTTGTATTGCTAGTGGTGCGAAGCTCAGCTTCACCTCTGTGTTTCAGTTGGCTCATGGACCCAAGTAGAGTTCTTGCTCTTGACAACGGTGGTTGGCAATGTAAGATTGGTTACCTGTCTCAAAGCAGCCCAATTGTCGAATACAATAGTGTAATGAAAGCGAAAGCAGAAAGAGGCAAAAGTTTTGTTGCAAATGACATTGATAATTGCCGCGATATGTCTGGACTTTTCTATCAGCTTCCGATGCAAAAGGGATTTCTCGTGAATTGGGATACTCAGAGAACTGTTTGGGAACACCTTTTTAACAACAGCTTGAAAGTGAATTTCAGGTAGCGTTAATTTATTACCCTTGCGATAAGTAATGGTATGGCAATCGGGTACTAATTTTTTTACCCGTAAACAACTTTGTTCACAGGAGTCATTCCGGGATTCATTCACCTCTTGGTCCTGTTTGTTGCAAATAATGAGCATGTTATAATGCTAATGTCCAACCTTTTCGAAATGTACTTATTTTTTGTTAGGCGTTATTTAATCAACTCGATTCGTTAATTTTAAATTTTTTTTTAGCTTAATAGGTTTCGGCTTATGTTATTTTGGCTTAGTGGCCTCATATTGTGCCGTTTTTGGTGAGCAAAATGTTTTATGTGTGCGTTTTGAGGAAGAGAAGGACTTGAATTTTTTTATTCGTTCCAAATCGTTTTGGTTTTTTTTTCGTTTTGAAGGGCTTTTGCTGAAGATTTTTCGTCTTTGTTACCGCTTGGAAATTTTCGTTCCTGTGCTAGTTTTGCAGTCTTTTGTCTTGGCATACATTTTCCTAGATCTAGGTGCATGTATAATATTTACACTTGCGATAGCAAGTGTCTTGTTATCGGGAATTTGACTTATTTTCACGTTAATTTGACTTATTTTCACGTTAAACTTTTTGAGAGTAATGAACGTGGTTAAGACTCTTATATAGAAAAGTCTTGTATAGAAAAAAAAGTTTTGCAGATTTTTTTTGTATGTATTTTTAAGGAAAAACTCTAAAATGTGTTCACTCTCAATTTTGATTTTTCGCGGTTTGACTTTTGATTTCTTTGTAAGTTCAGTACATTTCTATTGTTAAAAGGAAGGCAAACTCCACTATCGAACAGCCAAATTGTAATGGTCATGAAAAACGTGATCAACTTCTAATTTTGAAAATGGAAATTAATTATCAGATTTCGCAGCGAAATAAAAGTTTTACCTATTGATCCGCTTTTCTCAAATTGAGTTAATTTTAGCAAAAAAGTGTCCATCTTAAATTGTTCGACAAATTGAAAGAGCTCTAAGGTCATCTAATTTTTCATTCGAAAGAGAACTTGAAGATTTTTTTGAAAAAAAAGTCGGTTTTTTTTCAGTTTCCTTGCGTTCATTACTCTTCCAACTGTCAGTTGGCTATGTTCTTACAAATCTTACATGCTTTTCTTACTTGGAATATTATTGAACCTTAACATCTACCAGGTTCGTTCCTACAGGTTCGGCCTAGAGGATGCGTCATCGCCTTTGCACCCTTTGGTGAAAAATGATGTATCCGATATTTTGTGAGCTGTCACATCACGGATTTTTCTTGTGCTGTTAGCATTTATCTTATACTTGCAAGTGTTGTTCATTGCCGCTTCAGATCGGACTTGAAACTTTTTGTTACAAAATCAGTTTTTTGTTCGACTCAAATGGTGTCTGCTCAAAGATCGTGGGCTTAGTTTCAGCTTTGTACGGATTGTTCCGTTTCCAAATTTTTTTTATTTCACTTGCGAAAACAAGTCATTTGTAATCCTGAACTAAACTTTTTTCCCGTAAACATTTTTTTTCATTTGCACGTGAAAGTCACTGAACTAACTGCGTGTAATTCTACAAGGTGCAAGCTGATACTCTCAAAATCTTTAAAACTCAAATAAAATTACTTAGATCATTTTAGGCATTAATTAATTTTTCAAATATACTTGAAAAAAAGTTGATGTTTCGGTTTTGCGGTTTGCGTCCTAATTTCTGTCGGCTGATTTTCCATGTTTTCCAAAAGCATTTTACATTATGTACGTTTTTAAAGTAAATTTTTAACAATGTATGGTTTTTGTATTCGAACAGTTTTCACTATAATTGAAAGTTGTTCTGTGGTGAACACTGATTTTGAATAATTGTGTTCATTTTTTTCAGTTAAGCGGGGTCTGCTTAGGGTATATTGGCTTTGTAAACTTAAAATGCGTATACTCGAGGGAAATTTTTAATGCTTTTGCGTTATTCAAGTTTTGGGTCTTAAGAAATTTGAGTTTTAAAATTTAACAGCTCCAAATTTTTTTATGGAGCCTTAGTTGCCACTCGGTCATTGTTTCTGAATGCTTATAGGGGCTGCTTACCATTATCAACCAAGACCAAGGTAAGAAGTTTTTATAAGTGTTATTTTTCGACTTATTTCAAGTAATTTTTTCGGCCTAATTTTTCTAAAATCGATTTCTTTTATTCTTTTCAATATCGAGTAATGCAAAGTTTTGATTGTGTCATAAATGTTGCGAAGCTCCGCTTGCCTTTTGTGTTCAATTGTCTTGCTTGGCATCTGTGTTCAAAAGTATTGCTTGGCGTGTTTTGCTTATTTAACTTAGTCGAGTCATACGAAAGTTAGGTAGATGTAGTTTTTTCAACTTTCTTTTTTCATTTTTAGTAGTATTGAACGTAGTGAAGACTCTTATATAGGTCTTGGTGACTTTTTTTTCCAGGAAAAAGTCTTAAAATGCTCTAATAACTACAGATATGCATTCATACATATTGATGCATTTATAAATGCACTTAGGTATATATGCACTTTTTGAGTTCAATTGAAATTCGTCTGCTGAAAGTGGCGTAAATAGCACTCGCCAAATACAAACTTGGAACTTGCGCAAAAAAAACGTGAACGATTTCTAGTTTCGAAAGTGGCATTTACTTTTTAGATTTCCAGGGGAATAAAAACTTTACCTGTTGATCCAGTTTTCTCAAGTTGGGTTAATGTTATCAAAAAAGCACCGCTCATAAATCGTTCTAGAAATTCAAAGAGCTTAAAGGGTATCTAATTTTTCTTTGAAAATCGTAGGTTGAGATTTTTTCATTAAAGTCAGTGTTTTTTTAATGTTTACCTGCATTCATTACTCTTTTAATCTTCGATTGGCTGTTTTTTTTTCAACTTTTAAATGTTTCCGTTGTACCGCAACTTTTGACTCAATGTATCGCAACTTTTGGGATCTTTGCTAAAAACTTTTAGGTTTGAATTCCGCTTTTTTCTATGCAAATTGAACTTTCAATTTTTTGTCATGTTGAACTTCATTCAAGACAAATATAGCAAAATTTTGGTAGATATAATTTTTCTCGACATATTCAAAAAAGTTTGACTTAAAGGCCTGGGAAAATTTGGTGCCGCGTTGAATATTTTCAATTCTATGCTTCAGGTTTAAAGATGTTTTCCTCGCGCTTTTGAGGTTTGATGATGTTTTCGTCGCGAGTAGAAGTATGGAAATAAATGTATGCGTAATTATTTTATTCAAAAGAGTACCGATTTTGATTCGATTAGTATCCGACGTTTTACTAACTTTTGTTCTTGCGATTAGCTACCGAAGGAACAGACTGTTTCAGATTTACAACTTGTCTAAAAGAATTATTTGATTGCTTGATTTATAATAAATTGAAAGTCATTGTTTGATTCTACTCATTAAGCGCGAAGGTAAACTCAAAGTTTTCAGCTGTTTTTTCAAACTGAAAATTTTCCGCTTGAAAAAAGAATTAGTCGACCTTTTTGTTTACCTGCTTATTTTTGTCGACATGGTTGTCACATGACGGATTTTTCTGCGCCTCGGTGTATGAAATAGATTCCTTTCTGGGCAAATTCACCCTTCTAATTACACAAACATATCTTGTGTTATAGTATGAACTCTTTCCCAGTAGCGTTATCGGTCATATTTTTGCTTGTGTATGCGAAGTGCAACTTCGCCCCCTGTAAACTTTGCTGTAATAGGGTGCTAGACTTTGTCCGCAAACAATTTTGCAAACACAATTACGTGCTCCATTATGTTTCAAAATCAGTGATGGTTTGGATCTAGAGGTAACTCCCGTGCTTGAGTTAAATCAAACAAATGTAATTTGTTTGAGTGCGGTCGGGATCCATTTTTTGTATTTTAATTTTTGGAAAAATTCAGTTGCTGTGCTGTAGTTTTTCGCTCATTTTCATCGACTGACTTTTCTTCTGAAATAAGCAAGTTTACTTAAACTTATTTTGACATATTCCTTTAATTTTTAAATTTACGACCTATGATTTTTGATAGTTTCCTTCCAACTTTTTTTGTTTTAAACGTTTCATCGGCGTTAAAAGTTTCGGGAGTTTGTTACAAATTTTTAAATTGCTTCAAATGTTTTGCAGCGCAATTTTGGTTGGCTTAACGGCCGCTCACTTAACCATTGTCTGCTTAGTTGCTGCTTGAAAAATTTCGTTTCCATACTTATTTCTTACTGACAATTGTGTTTCATGACATATATTTCTCAAATTGCACTCAAGACAAATATACAAAAATTTTGATCAAGATGTTTTTTTTCGACTCAATGGTATACGTCTTTTTTCGGCTAGCTTTCTTTCTATTTCTGTGTTGTATCGCAAGTAGTTGAAGCTCCGCGTCGTCTTTGTTTCACTTGAAATTGTTTTAATCTAAAATCGTTTGTGCTTTTGGCAAACTTCTGCGCTACTGGAGTTCTGCATCTCAGTTTATGAAGCCCATCAGATAATTCGAAAAATTTAGAAAATAGTTTTGCTTATTTTAGTTGTCGCTTCTTGTTTTGTCGGTTAAATTGTTTTTTTGATAGGTCTTTTCTTAAGCATTAGAAGCATTTTAGTTTCTTCTTTACCCTTGCGAAAAGTAAGGGCGTTGCCACTTGTTGCTAGATTTTTTCCCATAAATAACTTTGTTCACAGGATGACTGAATTTAGTGGTCATCTTCATCCGTACTTTTGTCAACTAACTGATAAATTTTGAGCATTTCTGCATTGTAAATGCCCGTTCTATCCGAAGTTTTTTTTGTTGGATATAAATTTACAACATTCGTTTTCTATATCCTTTTTTTTTTTTGCGGCGTATGATATATCGGCTTAGCGGCGTCTTCTTAAGTCGTTAAATGATTTTAAAAATGAGTTTTTTTTTTTAATTAAAACATTTTTTTTTCGGCTCAACGTGTGCTTGCTCAAGATTTGTCGACTTTGTTACCACTTTGTACGTTTTGTTTCCATGACCATTTAAAATTCAATTGTTTAACTTTGTGTTTTTTTTTCGGTCCGTTAGTTGGTCAGGCTATAATTGAGACTGTGTATGCTGTATCACAAATGTTGCAAAGCTTCGCTTCGCCTCTGTTAAATTGTGCAACTTGAAAAAAATAGGAGACTGGCTGCAAAAATCGCAGACATTTTTTTTGAAACACGCTTCGAAAAAATCGTCACTGATCAGTCTTCAAAGCATGCTACTGATCATAATTTGTTATTTTTCCGAGAAAGTTGGTTTTCAAAGTTCATGTATGTTAGAAGATACTGCATGAAATATTCTTCATTTTTTTGATATAGGAGGCCTCATTAACCTGCCAGACCAGTGTGTTATAAAAAATTGAAATTTTAGTCTAGAGTAATTTTAACTTGCTAAGATGTGACAGCAAATATCAGTTTTTTAGTCCGTGTTTGGCCGAATGATGGCGAATGGGTCTTGTAAGACACATATGTAGATGAACTGCGAAAACAAAAAAGTACTAATGCAATTCCACGTTTGTTTGGCCGAACGGTATTTCAAAAACTTGTCGGCTTTGTTTCTGCAAATCCATTTGTTTTTCTTTCCAAACGTTGATGATAGAATCTCACTTCTGTGTCAGACAGATGTAAATATTATGAATCCCAGTTGTTTTTTTTCTATGATGTTTGTTATTATTTTTGGCCTCGCTATTTTCCAACGTTCGCTTGGCTGTTTTCCTATTTGAATCAACGCTTTATATGACAATTCCTGAGCAGTTTTTGCATTAGCTGTGATATTTGCTTATTTTTGTCTTAAAATTCGCTTTTTTGGACAAAATGGTGAGCTGTTATTTCATATTAAATCAAGCTCGCCGTGACTCAAAAAAAATTATCTAAACTTTGGTATAAAACCAATGTTTGGTTACACGTGCCAGCTAGCGAGCGTAGTTTAATAATGTAGATCTTCATGTTTGTCGACTTCGCTCTGTCGGTTTAGTTTCCGATTTATTTATATCACTTTGCATACACTACATGCAGCAATCGTCACTCGTAGATATTATTTGGGCAGTACATGCACTTTCCTCCGATAAAATTTGTGTTGCCGAATTTTTTTCTGATTCTCAGCTTATTGGGTGTTAGCTTTAATTCTGTTGGCTTATTTAGCCAATGTTTTGTGTCCTAAAAATTTTTGGTGTGTTTTGAGAACGGTAAGAATCTCACAATATTGTTGTTTCGAATGCTCAAAGTCAACCCCAGAAGGCCGTCTTTAAAAAAGTTTGAAATAATTTAAACATGATTCTGCTTCTTCAATGGTAACATCGTTCGAAATGTCTGTGCTATTTCTTGAGCGTCATGATCTTTACACATGCCGGGCACAGTATAAAACTGCAAAGCTACTTTCTTTGCCAACCTAAGTCGCAAATAGAGGTGCTCGTTTGGCTGCACTTTTGGTATAGTTCCAACCATTGATAATTTAATAGCATATGTATCTGCTTTATTGGTAGCTAGTTTAAGTTATTCTGGAGCAAATGCGAGGACCTTAGACTCCTGATCTCCAGATCGGAGATGATATTCCGGCTCAAAGCAAAAGTTTTATTTTTCTAGTCTTATTTGTACCTTTTTGCCCTATTATAGCTAATTTTTGCCGTTTTCTCGTTCGTTTGTATTTGCAAAGTGCAGCTTTGCCTCTGTGTTTTATCTTATACTTATTGCATCGCAAGCAGCCTCTGTTTATCAAAAAATAATTGTGTAAAATGAAAGTAACCAGAATTCAGCAAACTTTGATACGACAATTTACTCAACTCGAATTTTGATAACATTTCCTATATTGGCTGTAGTCGTTTGTTTCAGCGCGACTTCATTAATTTTCACGGAACCGCATTTCAATTTTTCTTCTGTACAACATTCATTGAACGAAATATTCTTTGAACAATATCAGTTTGCTAGTATTCTGCGCACTACCACATCAGATTTAGCTGCAGCGAAGTTTTGCCATGAAAATAAAGAAAATTGTTGTCTTATAGTGGATAGCGGGTATTCATTTTCGCATGTGGTGCCATACGTGAATCACGTGAAATGTCGAGATGCAATTCTAAGATTAGACGTTGGCGGTAAAATGCTCACCAACTATCTGAAGGATGTCATCTCATATCGTCAGGTTAGAAGCTTTCTAGCATTAGGCTTGGGTTTCGATTGAGACGTAAAACTTAATTTGAATTTGAAATTATCTGTTGATGGAGTCACTTTGTCTGTTCATAGATTTTATGGTTTCTTATGATGTGAATTCAGGTAATGAACTCATGGCTTAAACTTGATTTGTATCCGTTGTTTTTTAGCTGCACGTACTTGATGAAACCTTTGTCATGAATCAGTGCAAGGAAGACTGCTGTTTCGTCTCAGCAGATTTCTACCGAGATATGAGAACTGCAGCATTGAATGGTCCTGAAAACACCCTCTCACGAGATTACATTCTTCCTGATTATTTGGATGTAAGACGCGGCTATATTCGACAAAAAGAGGAATCTGTCCAAGGCAAACCAGTAATTCGGATGAACAACGAACGATTTGCAGTACCTGAGGTTTTATTTAGTCCTGCTGATATAGGAATTCAGCAAATGGGAGTTGCCGAATGTATAATGCACGCGATCGGCAAGCTTGACCAAACTTGTCAGCCCGATTTACTGGCAAATATTGCGTTGATTGGTGGAAATGCATGTTTGCCGGGATTCAAAAGGAGAGTTCACACAGAAGTAAGGACCCTAGCAGATTGTCACATGGATGTGAACGTCCATTGCTCCTCGGACCCCTCTTCATATGCATGGCAGGGAGCTAAAGTTCTGGCCAACTCTCCGGAGTTTGCAAATAAGTTGATCTCTCGGAAAGAGTATCTGGAAAAAGGCAGCGATTTCTGCAATGAGAAATTTAATATTTGACCTTGTTATTGATGTACTTTGTTTAAAGATAGTTTTAGTTGTCCCCGATTTTGAGTTTCTGTACATTAAAAGAACATGCGCGTAAAAGGCTTTCGGTACTTACAGGGACATACAAGAAAGACAAGATTTTTCCGCATTAGTCGTCCTACGTTCTTTTTTCCCGGCGATTTTGAGTATATTTCCAGATGGCGTTAAGTTTCCCGATTTCAACTTTAATAGCTTCTCGACAGTTTTAAAACCCAGGCAGAAAGCCATATATGAAATTCTAGATCCAGTACCTGTATAATTTATCATAACCGAAATATCATATCCTTGGCAGTGTACTTTCGACTTGTTGTCAATGCCTATGTAAATGAAATCAATATTCACTTAAGTGTGAGCTCATGTTTCAGTGCCTTATGTAATTAGATGGGATGGGAACTACGTTGTGAACTGTGGCTGTGTACTAGACCCATTTGAGGAAATTTGAAGTGAATTGTAATTGTTTTTTTTTTTTGTTATCCGATATTTCGGATATCAGGAAAATCATCAAATCATTTAAAAGTTACTGGTTTGACTGGACTCAGAAGCAAAAATCTGTGAAGTGGATTTTAACAGTCACGAAATAAAAACTTTCAGTGCTACTTATAATGGAGTACAAAACAAGAATGAACGAAGTAAATACGGAGTCGCTAGCCAGCACCCAACGCATGAAAGCCTACTTGGAAGAAGCAGACGGCGCAGCTGTAGAAACTATGGCTAACTTGGAATCCCAGGGCGAACAGTTGCGACGCGTGGACAAAAGTCTGGACAGAATAGACCAAGAGATCAGAGTAGCTGACAGAAACTTAACACAACTGGATAAATTTTGCGGCATGTGTCTTTGCCCATGCAGAAGAGCGAAGAATCTGAAAAGTTACTCAGATACAGTAGAAATCAAATACGAGAAGAAAAAGAAAACTCAAAGTAGTAGTCCTAAAAAGAAAAATGAGCCGATGGATAACAATCAGAATGGATCAACAGCAAATCGCTACATCAATCGAGTAGCAAATGATGATAAGGAAGATGAAATGGAAGAGAACATGGAGTCAATCTCGGCCTATTTAAAAGACTTGAAAGTGAAGGCGAAAGTCATGGGCAATGAAATTGAAACTCAAAATGAGACAATTGACCAAATAAATGTGAAGGTGGCGAGAAATAAGGAAAATATCGAATTGTCCAACAAACACGCATCTGATGTTATGGCTCGGTAGACATACTGAATTCATCAGTTTGTTAGTTAATCTTAATTATAGAAGCACAAAATCAGCTGTCATCTTCAAAGAATCAAATAAATGGTCAGTTCAATCAAAAGTGATCTAATCAAAATCAGAAGTCTAATGTCATCTTTCAATCAATTTACTATCTTACCAGGTGCTGAAGTCTTTCAATCTTCCGCGTGCCTTCTTTTGTATACAACTTTGATAATATGTAGACATGAAATAAAACTGGTATTTGGTTAGTATGTTTTAGTACATTATACTTTTAGTTTTAATTTTTGTAGGTATTCTTCAGTCGAAATTCAATATTTCATTGGCAAAATTTGTTCACTTTCACCGCTAACTGAGTTGTTGCCTTGAAACTGAAGCTGATTGACATTGATATCAAAGTTGAAAGCGTAGTCATCCTTAGCCAGCAACTCCAAATAACAATGCGAAGTTTTCAAGTTGGGTGCCAGAAAGAAAAATAACCAGTTAGATACCGGGATCCTTTGGCTCCCCTGTAAATTGGCTTCTGGTCGAAACGTTCTCTGTAACTTTTGGAGCAAATATGTAACTCTTATTGTCCGACCAGCTCCGAAAATTTTTGGGAAGGATGTTGGAGTCTGTCATTTGTCCACAAGATAGTGTACTGCAAAAACGTGGTATCATATTTACACCTGCGAGAATAAGTGTCTTCTACGCGAGAACTAGACTTTTTTCCCGTAATCTGTAAAAAATTGTGAAGTTGCTTTATAAGTGAACCTTAGCAACTTCGATACTCCTTCTTACTTGGCCTAGAGGTAACGCGGTTGCCTTTGTACCCTAAGGCCTGGATTTTTTTTCACTATGTTTGAAAATGATTTTTTTTCAGCAAATTTGTATCAGGAAACTGTTCTGTCAGCAAATTTCATCGTTGGTTTACTCCTGTAATTTATAAATTTAGTAGCTCTGAAGTCGTATATTTTCTTGGTTTTCTTTTTTTTCTCAAAAGCTTTAGTCGGCATAAGTTGTTTCGGCTTATGTTTAATCGGCTGAGTTACCTTATTTTGATTCGCTTTAAAGGCGAAAAATAATTGATTTTTTTAAACGTTTAAAGTTTTAAAACTTATTGCTCAAATTTTTTGTGACAACAATTTCTTAAAGATTTTTTTTTGTTTTCGGGTCAATGGGCGTCTACCTATTCATAAGCGAATTTAGGGGGGCTGGGAGCAGACGCTCCTTCCCTTCAAGGATTCGACCTCATACTGAAACAAAGAGTCCCCCCTTTGTACTAAATTAAGACATTCACTTTTGGCTGAGCGAACGTAAATTTTCTATAAGCTCCAGTGGTGCCAAATTACTAATTTTGAAGGGGGGAATTCTAGATCCGCCCTTTCACCCAAATTTTTCGGCTTGATGGCATTCGGTAAATAAAGAAAGCTTAATTAATGCTGGTTGCTGAGTTTTTCGACGGTTTTTCTAAAATTATTTTAATTATTTCCCTTTTTTTTGATGTAGTTATTTCCGTCTCATTTTCTATTAGCTAGCTTCGACTGCTGCGCTTGCGTTGTAGCGAAAGTGATGCGAAGCTCCGCTTAGCCTGTGTGAAATTCTTAATTTTGATTCGAAATATATGAAAAAAATCTCTGTTTGAACTCAGCTGTTTGTTTGCTGGCAACTTAGTAAAAAACTTAATGATTAGTTCCTTGTGGTCGATTTAGATTAAATTTGGGGGTTTTGCAACTGCTAATTTTTTGTTCCAGATAATTAGATGCCTGTAGGAGGTAGTCAGCGCAGGCCTGCGCAGCAGCAGGCGTCATGTTTCAAACGAATGCAGATGGGCTTTCTCATGGGTATCGGAGTAGGCTCGGCAGCCGGCGTCATTTTTAGTCTCTTCGGAGTCCCCACCCTTATCAAGGCTGGATTCACGCCTGCTAAGATTGCGATGCAATCTGCTAAAACAGTGGGAGCCACTGGATTCAGTTTTGGAACCTTCATGTCAATTGGAACTGGAATCAGATGTTGATTAAATTTCTATGACTTAATGAACTTTTATTTGCAAATGCTATCTTGAATATTTGAAGAAAAAAAATCAAACTGCTGATACATTTGAGCGTGCGTAAAGAGATGGTTTTTATCCTTGCATTTTGCAAGGATGTTGCAACCGGGTACTAGATTGTTTCACAGAATTCGCTGATAAGAAGTAATTGGCTGTTCAACAGACTCAATTTCAATGACTATATCTGTTATGTAGAGGTAACGTAAATTCTTAAAAGTTCTCATCATTTCTTTTTCCAATAATTTTTTGCTTTATTTGAATTCATGAAAAGATTTGCAAATGGCTGTTCATCTCGAATTTGAGAGTGGCGGTTTTCAGTTAAACGTTTCAAAATAATTGAATTTTTTAATTTATTTTTTATTCTCCTTAGATTTCATTCCCGCCTTTGTATAAATCAGTCCTACAATTACTGCTGCTGTTTTTGACGAGCCTAAATAATGCTGTTTTTCAAATAGATAATGAAAACTTCGGTTACTTCAGATTTTTCACTAGATGCTTGTAAAAACCAACTTGGTTACTTAAGCTTTTTTAACCAGTTGCTTTTGGTTATGGAAAATTGGGATGCTTCCTTTTAGTCCAGATTGTCAATGTCTTGTCTTGAATGCTGAAGTCGACTATTCTAATCTCGTTTTCATTCTGAAGATTTAAAAGTCATATTTCACTTACATTCTGTGATGAATCTTTCAGATAGTCGTGCAGTTTCTAAACATGCTGATTAAGGTGAAAACTTTAACGGGCAAGGAAATTGAGATCGACATTGAACCAAATGACAAAGTGGAGCGAATAAAAGAGAGAGTCGAGGAGAAGGAGGGGATCCCGCCTCCGCAGCAGCGTCTCATTTTCGCCGGCAAACAGATGAACGATGACAAGACGGCCGAGTACTACAGAATCGCGGGCGGGTCCGTCCTGCATCTAGTGTTGGCTCTCAGAGGTGGCGGAGACATCAAACCACATAGTTTTACCTCATAGTACACGAATGGCTGCTTATTGGATCAAACGTGTGATGTGAACAGAAACCTTTTCACATGTTATTGTTAGGGTTACTTGAATGAATATGGCTATAAGAGTTTATTAACTCGCTCGCTAGTCGCAATTAAATTTGAAACTTGTTTAATTTACGTTTTATTATATCCAATCTCATCGGAGCCGAATGTATTGTTGTAGGCGAATCCAAGCAAATGTTGGAACTGCGATTTTGTTTATATGTAGTTAATTTTATTTTCACTCAATTACCTTTTTGTTGACAAAAACAAAGCCAGCTTTATAAGCTAAAGCAACAACCCGGAAGCGTTTGACCAAAGGTATGTAGCTAAAGTTGTTTAACCAGTTCAGTTTTATTTTCAGATTAATAGTTAGCTAATGGTTATCTCCAAATTCATAATTGGCTGAAAAGAATGAGTGCACCTCCTCATTTCAATTCGCCCCCTCTAATCATAACCGACGACCCTGCTAGTCCCCCCGAAGAGACGATGTCCCCCTCGGAAATAGCCGCACCACAGGCATCCCCTTCGACCTCAGGGGGTGGAAACAGTAACCCCACCTCAAATGGCAGTAGTGTAAATCTGTTGAGTGTGAGTAGCTACCAGTACGGGAAGATTCTTGGCGAGGGAGCTTTCTCCACAGTCTTGCTTGTGAAAGAGCGAACTTCGGGGTAAGTGGCTTTAAAATTTTCTTCATTTAAATTTTATTTGATGGCTTCTACCATTCGTGTGCTGACGAAAGTACTGGGCTAAAGTTCCTCAAAAGGATCTCCTCTTAGTTTCCCGTAGTGTAGTTTTTAAACTGTCGGTTCGTCGATCTAACGTACTGTGTAGCAATTATGACCTAGATTGCACGTTTTTCTCCATGCATGTAAGGTAGCTCAAAGATAGCTCACAGTTGCGATAAGCAAGCGTTATCAAATCGGAATGTAGACTTTTTTCGTGTTAACAAATTAAGTAACAGAATCGCTTGAATCACTTTGTACCTTGGCTCATTACGAATTCAAGTTTTCAGCGTTTCCGTCACTCAGTCTGGACGTAGCTAATATGTCTGAGATGGCGAAGTTCTTTAGTTGGAATCTGACGAGGACCTGTTTTTCTAAGCGGGAAGTATTCCGTTTAAAAAAATGACGGCCTATTTGTTCCGACCGTTGAAAATGGGGATAAACTTTGGATTAGGGTGTGTTTTAGTTTTTTTTTTGTTTTTGTTTTTCACGCAAAATCAGCTACCACAAAAAGTTATCGGACAGGATTAAGTGATTTATCATATTAAAGCCCTGCCAATCGTGATTCGAACGACATTAAAAAATGTCGAAAAAGTTTTCAGTGTCGAGAAAAACCGGTTTAACATTTTTGATTTTTAGTCTAATTTCGAACTAATTATTAAGATAGTTGGCAATTGCAATAGCTTATTTAAGCTTAATTTAAGCCGTGAAAATTTCGTTTAGCGCAGGTAAGAATAGTTTTTGGAGTTTTTAGCGCAATTTTGGGAATCAACTCAAAAACTAGAAAATTCAAAAATTTTCCGCATTTCTTCAAAAACTGTTTTCAATTGATTTATTTTGCTATGACTCGCAATTGTGCCTAAGTTTCATTCATTGTTCAGATATTTTATCACAACATGCAGAAAAAATGACACCAATTTGAGGAAACATTGTGTATTTTTTTAAGACTGGTCGGAATATACTGTGCTACTTGCACAGTAACTGGCTATCCTTGTATTTATCTGCTTATGTTTTGTCCGCTTAATTGCCACATCTTAGAACTTTTTAGCTGTACGCAATTTTTCTGGAGTTACTTTTAGTGTTTCGATTTACTCCTGCAATTTGTAATTTTACCAACCTTGGCTTCGTAGATTTATACGTTATTATTACGTTATACGTAATACGTTATACGATTTATACGCGATTAGTAAGCGTAATCAAGTCGGAAAATAGTTTTTATGGGTTAACCACTAGTTAAAAAAATTCAGTTTAATCACTTGTGACGCTGCTGCTTACATGCTCAATTTCATAAAATTTAATATTTAACTACCGATTACTAGTTACTATTCATGCTATATCTAGAACTCAAACCATTGTATGTATAATTACAGAGTTTTGATATTAATTTACTACTGATTGTTTTTCGGCTTCATGGTTGTCGACTTAAGCTCTCTAGGTTTAGTTTCAAAATTATGTAGTCTACTTTGCATACGCTACTTTCATAGCTATCGTGGATCCTATTTGGGCGATACTTGGAAACTTTTCCTAAATGTTTTTCAAGTTTTTCGGCTGAGTTTCAGCTTATTGGATATCGGCTTAATTTTCTAGCGGCGTATTTTTCCTTAAAATGTCCGTTAGTACTTTTGAGATCAATAAGACCCTGGCACCAATTTTTTGAACGCCCAGTTTTATTCCAACTAGGGCCTCTTTGAAAAACTCAAATAAATTCAAAAATGAAAAAAAAAAAACATTTTTGTTTTTTCTCGTTTTCCATTTCCTTCTTCAATTGTACCATAGTTCGAAGTTCTGTTTTGCAAATTTTTTAGCGTCATGGTGTAGTGCACTCACTCTATAAATGTTGAATCGCAAGTGGCGCGAAGCTCAGCTCCGCCTCTGTGTCTTAGTGTCTTAATTTTTTCAGAATAAAATCTTTATTCGGTCCAAATGATTTCGGCTTATATATTTTTGGCTTAGTGTCCTTATTTTGGGTCGTTTCAGGGAAACTATCTTTTTTTTCTCACCTCCTAGTCGTACAAAATGCTTTAAGAAAATAAAATTCAGTTTAAAGTTTTCATGACAACAATTTTTTTTGGTTCTACGGGAATTTTCCCAAGTTTTGTCGTCTCTGTTGCCATTCTTGTCTCAGCTGACGTCGATAAATTCTTCGTGAATTTTCATTAAACGCTTTCGATTGTGTTTTTGTATGTGTTTTCCGCAAATAGACCATCCAAGTTTACATTTTTTCTTATGTTGCCGTCAACTAGTTACTATTCATGCTATATCTAGAACTCAAACCATTGTATGTATAATTACAGAGTTTTGATATTAATTTACTACTGATTGTTTTTCGGCTTCATGGTTGTCGACTTAAGCTCTCTAGGTTTAGTTTCAAAATTATGTAGTCTACTTTGCATACGCTACTTTCATAGCTATCGTGGATCCTATTTGGGCGATACTTGGAAACTTTTCCTAAATGTTTTTCAAGTTTTTCGGCTGAGTTTCAGCTTATTGGATATCGGCTTAATTTTCTAGCGGCATATTTTTCCTTAAAGTGTCCGTTAGTACTTTTGAGATCAATAAGACCCTGGCACCAATTTTTTGAACGCCCAGTTTTATTCCAACTAGGGCCTCTTTGAAAAACTCAAATAAATTCAAAAATGAAAAAAAAAAAACATTTTTGTTTTTTCTCGTTTTCAATTTCCTTCTTCAATTGTAACATAGTTCGAAGTTCTGTTTTGCAAATTTTTTAGCGTCATGGTGTAGTGCACTCACTCTATAAATGTTGAATCGCAAGTGGCGCGAAGCTCAGCTCCGCCTCTGTGTCTTAGTGTCTTAATTTTTTCAGAATAAAATCTTTATTCGGTCCAAATGATTTCGGCTTATATATTTTTGGCTTAGTGTCCTTATTTTGGGTCGTTTCAGGGAAACTATCTGTTTTTTGCTCACCTCCTAATCGTACAAAATGCTTTAAGAAAATAAAATTCAGTTTAAAGTTTTCATGACAACAATTTTTTTTGGTTCTACGGGAATTTTCCCAAGTTTTGTCGTCTCTGTTGCCATTCTTGTCTCAGCTGACGTCGATAAATTCTTCGTGAATTTTCATTAAACGCTTTCGATTGTGTTTTTGTATGTGTTTTCCGCAAATAGACCATCCAAGTTTACATTTTTTCTTATGTTGCCGTCAGCAATTGTTTGTGAGTTTTCATTAAAAGCCGTGGGTTGTGTTTCTGGACGTGGGGGTTGCGCAAATAGAGCATCAATCCAGATCTTTCGAAGTATTTAAGGTGGTTTTTCAAAAAAAAATTCTGTCTGCTAGCTTGCAATGCTTTTTTATGCGGTATCGCAAGTTGTGTCAAGCTCCGCATCGCCTGTGTGTCAATTGTTTGAAAAATCTTATTAGTTTCTTTAATTACACCTGTGATAAGCAAGCGTTATCAAATCAGAACAAAGACGTTTTTCCACGTTTAAAATTGTCCCTCTGAATCATTTGACAGCTTGACTTATCTACGCGTTTATAAACTTCCATCCATTTGAAAAGGATCGACCATAATTCTCAAAGCGCAAAAAACTCTTATCTTTCAAAATATTTTCGCTTCATCTCTTAAGTTAGCGTACCTACAACTCACACCACGCCATCTCGGCTTCGTCCGCTGCACTTCACCAGCAGTGTCTCAACGTGCCTAGGTCAATCCATTTCCCATGGCGTAACCAAAAAGAACCCTAAACAGACCTGTTTTCGTGTCACATAATCTATCAAAAGACTTTGCCTGAACACCTTATTAATGAAAAGACTAACTAACTCTTAGCTGCTTGCCTTTGCTAGCTGCAACATTTGCAACTAACTGAACCTTGGGTAGGACAGAACTGTTTAGAGACCATGCCTTGAAAGCGAGAATAGTCCGCAGAGGAGTCTACCGTGGCTCGATTGTTTCTCACACCCTGTTCAACTAGTATCTCAGTGGTTTACTTCTCCACTCGAAAATGTTTTCGTCTGTGCTGACGATTTCAATGTCTTCAACCAAATAACTAAGATTATAGTTCGGTAACTTTTTAACGGTAAAAACGTTCTGCTTACGTGCGATAAGTCTTGTTTACCACAAGCTTAAATTTTTTCCCCCTCCAAATATTCAGTCACCCTGTGCTGAACTCAGAGGACTATCATTTTCAATTCAAGTTTAAGTTCAGATTATTCTGCGACCCTGGATTGACACCAAAATACTTGGACTAATCTCTACTTTTTAACATCCAAGCAGCATAAAGAAAGCAGCAAAGCTCTGCAAAAAAGCTTTGCTCGTACCAATTAGGGCCGAAGCAGGAGAGCGCCTGTAATTACGCGCAAAGTGATGAAAGATGACATGTCCTCGATAAGCCGCCTCAGCGTGGTCAGTTTCATCTACCACGGAATTTATTCCAAGTTAATCAAACTCGGCTTATTCGGTATAGTTGGATGACGAAGCACACCGGCGTAGAGGTAACGTCTGTACCTGGCATAACAAAGGTCCTGGGTTCGAATTCGGTCTGGAGCTGTTTTTTTTGACAAACAAATAATTTTCGCTTGAAAAAAATTGTCGTTTTCGACATTGTTTTCACAGCGCTGCCTGTTCTGATGATCTAAGTAATTTAACTATAATTGAAAACCTCTCTGAAGTATTCTTTTAATGGTGAAGTACTTGTGTCCAAGAAAATCTAAACAGTTTTTGATAAAAGTTTTAAGAGCAAATTTTCTTGTTGTTTTTTCTTAGTCTTAATACAGCAACGAATTGGGCCTTGTCCTTGAAATAAATATTTTATTTGATTGTAAAAGGTTGAAATAATTATCCAATTTTTCCCATTTTCTACCATCAATTCCTTCGCCTGATTTCAATGTCAAATAAAGTGAACTTTGATGAATCATAAGTTTGTTAGAGAATGGCTGGATTGAGCCTACTCCAGAAAAAAATTTCAATAATTAAGAATTATGGCAGCTTTTAGCCATTTTTTACGCCTAAATACTGGCATATTTTTTGTATCGCTGGTTGTGTTAATTGTGATTTGAATTTTCAGTCGACGTTTTGCCATGAAAATGTGCAACAAAGACGAGGCTGTTAAAAAGAAAATTGTCGAGAGGCTAAAACGCGAAAAGCTTATTTTGTCCAAACTTAGACATCCCCTGATTCCCGATTTGATTGCCTGCTTCACAACACGAGAAGACGTCGTGTTCGTCTTATCTCTGGCCATCCGAGGAGACATGGCACCTTTTCTCAGACGTCTCGGCTCATTCGACATGGACTGTACTAAATTTTACATCTCAGAAGTCGTGTTAGCTTTAGAGTACCTCCACAGTCAGAGAGTGTTACACCGTGATCTGAAGCCTGTTAATATTCTCCTTAAACACGATTATCATATCCTGCTAACAGACTACGGAACTGCGAAGGACTTGAGTGAAGCGAGTCAAGGTTCAAATGAAGTCGGAAGTGGCGACGAGCACAGTCGGGACGACGACGGCAATCGCGGGCGCAAGTCTTCATTTGTCGGATCGCCACAATTCGTATCTCCCGAGGTGCTACAAAACAAAGCAGTAACTGAAGCATGCGACTACTTTGCCCTAGGCTCAATAATATTTCAATTTCTAGCGGGAGAGGCGCCATTTTCGGACGAGACCGAGTATCTCATGTTTTACAAGGTGCTAAATCTAGATTACTCATTTCCAGAGGGTTTCCCTGCAGTTGCGAAAGACCTGGTTGAGAAGTTTTTGGTGCTAAATCATGAGGAGCGCTTGGGACACCCCAAAATGGGAGGATGCGAAGCTGTGAAGAAGCATCCGTTCTTCGATGGTATGTTTTCAAAGATGCCTTCTCGTTTTGCTCTTGTTTAGATTAAGACGAATAGAAAGTCAACATTTCTGAGCTAATAGCTATTGTTTTAACATTAAAATTGTTCGCGTGCCAGTGTCTCAGCTTCAAAAATATCATTTATTAAAATTTTTTGCTTGTTCAAGGTATCGATTTTGAAAACATTCTGACTTTGAGGCCGCCTAAGCTGCGTCCTTTCTTGCCTGCCTCCAGTTCTAGTGAAGAGCTGTATTCGGACATGACCCAAATCAGCGAACAGGAAGAGGAGGATGAACAGAAGATATGGTACGACAGACCCATTGATGTCTTCCACGGCTTCGACGACTCAGACGAAATTGCTCATCAGAATAGCAGAAAGAAATCGAACAACAATCAAAGTGGTGCTTCAAACTCATCGCAACAGCAATCTAGCTTACATCTGCAAAAGTCGGGAGTGGGGAACATTTCAACTGAACAGTACAAGGCGCTCCTGCTGAGTCAACGTGAGGGAACCCCTTGGGATGTGTTCGCGAAGGACAGACTAATTATCAAAATGGGACTACTGGACAAACGGGTTGGCTACTTTTCGCGTCGAAGGATGTTTCTGTTTTTACAGGGACCTCTCTTTTTGTACATTGACCCTAAGAATAAAGAATCGAAAGGGGAGATCAAATGGTGCGACAGTTTGACTCCTGAGTTGAAGAACGACAAGATTTTTTTCATCCACGTGCCTGGTCGCGTATACTACCTCATTTGCCCGGATGCCAACGCGAGAGAGTGGGTGGAAACCATCAATCGCGTGAAGGCCGAAGTGTTGGAAGCCACAAATCAACTCAAACAGATTAATACAAGTTGATTCTAATTTTGTATGGCACTTTAAATCAGAGAGAGACCGAAAGCCAATTTTTGTGTCCAGAATTTTAAAAACTAATTTAGTACTTTTGATTCATTTTTTCTCAAAGTGAGTGGAAATAGCCCTAACTCTCAGCTCTGTCTATTTGATCACAAAGCTTGTTTCATGAGATCAGTCGACGACAACTACCCTTTTTCACTTTTTGAATGTTTTTTTTCCTGCAATTTAGTTACAACGAGTAATGGCCTGCCCAAGGAATAATTTTGATTCAGTCATACATCAATGTGACTGGGTAATTAGAAAGTTTCAGGGAAAACTTGTTCTAGCATTTTTTCATTTTTAAGAGTCGATGAACGTAGTCTCACGCGGTTACATTTTCTTTAAGTTCAGCTGCTGTTCAATGCTGTTTGTGGGAAGTCACGCAGAAGTATTTTCAGTTTGTCGAAAAAAGTTTTTGTTTTTCTAAAATTAACAGGTTCGAAACTCAAAGGGTGATGCTGTTATTTCTGCGCGGTGACCAGTGTTCGTTTCAAGCAATTTTGTTTCTAATTCGTTACCTATTCTTGATTTTCAGTATTTTTCATTATCGCTAACGAGCTTGCGAGCATTAGTCTATTAGTACGAACCTTCTTTTTCTAATCTGTTTCGCAAATTAAAGTGTTAATTAAAACTGTTCTTTTATTATAGACCTGCTTTTTGTCGTGTTCTCGCTGGTGTTTGCGAAGCACAGCTTCGCCTGTATGTCAAAATTTATTATCCGATGAAAATGACTTAAAGTTTATTAACCTTGGATTTATTGTATTCTTGGATTTATTGTAAGCGTACTCTTTGGAAAGGAAACTACGTTTGTTTGGTACATTAAATGATTTTGTCTCTTTAGACACTAAATAGAGATACTTGATTTTTTTTCGGCAACTAAATGCGGCTAAGCGGATACGCATCCTCAAAAGTTCAGTGGTGGGACATTTTAAATAAATGACATAAAGTCCGAGTAGTAGACATTTCTTTTTCCCCAACTAAGAATAATGAAATCTCATAGGTACTCCAAAATGATATCTCATGGGTAATCTCTTATGCCAGAAGGACCAAATGCCCGCAATTTTTGTCAGCCAATCAGAAATCAGTATTCAAAAATTTGCACTTTCGGTCCTTTTGTCTTGATAATAGCCCCCAACGTTGTCTTACTACTGATTGAACGTACAAAAAACAGATAATTTAAGAAAACAATACCAATTTAGAACAAGGATAGCCGGTTGCTGGGCATGTCGCTTAGAATGTTCTGACCACAATCATAAAAAACTATAAAACTATTTTTTAAATTGGTATCGTTGTTGTGTGGTGTGATAAGAGAACTATAGAAACGCGGAGAAAGTTAGTGAGATAGACAAAATTGACAACATTTGTCTTCAAAAATGATTGACAAGCAGAAAAAAATTTAAAATTAAAACAAATATAAATTTTTATAAGACTACTTTTTTTTGCCAAAGGAGCGCTAATGAAACTTTCAAAACTAGTTTTAATTTAAGTAAAATCAAGTTTTTAAGACGTTTTTCTCGACACTGGGACAACTTTTTGAAAATTTAATTTTGTGGGATTCACGACTGAAAGGGCTTTAAGTTGATATATGTCTCGCGGCCCATTCCAATGGCTATTTGTTTGATCTGATTTTGCTTGGAAAATAAGGAAAAAAAAACCACACTCGAATACAAAGTTCCTCCCTCTTTGCAATGGTCGGAACTATGCAAATGCAAAAAAAAACAACCGGAGTATCCATCACCATGTTTTTTTTTCTCTTTAACTTAAAGACATGCAACCTGTGGCAAGATACCTGGGAGCCGATATGTTTTTATCAATCAATTTCAGGTAGATTATTTTTTCAATTTCGTTTTTTCTTTTCAATTATTTAACTTATTGAAAAAGTGATTTAATTGTGTTCACGATTTTTTTTATTAATACGAGAATCAAAAATTTTGGCTCTTGTCAAATATAGCTCCAGCTATTAATAGCTCAACTCACAATAGGAAATCGTACTGGTTAAAAAATTAATTTTATGGTGCTAGAAGAACAATGGTAATAAACTGAAAAAATTTTATATAAATATTTTCTTTTCGCGATATTGGCTCACGACTTTGTCTACTTTATTACTGTCTACTTTTTGACCGTACTCTGATGAGCGCGTTTGAAATTAGCTGATCAGTATGTGTCAAAGATAAGATAACGTGTGATCCAAGCTTTTACATCGTCAAAATTTATGGTTGATGAGCAGGAGAAACAGTGGAAGAGTCACAAAATGTTATCGTCCTCGGAAAAGTCATTTCTTTAATTTTTTGAGCGTTTTTTCCCTGAATTTTATGAATTTCAGCAAAAAATACCCTTCCATAATTGAGATTTTATATTCAATCTAAAGAACGGGTTTTGCGAAGCTCCTTTGCATACACGGCTACGCCCAAATTTGGTTGGCACAAACAATTATGGCACTCGGAAAATTTTGATTTTTTTTAACCGTTTTTCTTGAACTATTCTTCCAAACCTGCGTTAGAAACCTCGTTAGAAATTGCAAATTGGGTGAATTTCTTCTGCATAAGCGGCTACCTCAAAAATTTTTCAACCAAAAGCTATGATTCTCGGAAATGTCAACATTCTTTTTTGTTGACCGTTTTCTGGAATTTTCTCGATAACTATCCTGGCAAATCTGATATCATATGTTTAATCGACACAACAGTTTGTTGGAAGCTTAACTTTATGTATTGGTACGCCCAGTATTTTTAGAAAAAAGTTACGGCCTTCAACAAAGTGACAGTTTTGCAGCTTTGACCGTTTTTTGGAAGTTTTTTGACTACTCGAAAATTACCGCGTCGATTCTCATGTTAATTGTGAATTTTCTCTAATTTGCCGGCCACGACCTGCTTTTAGTAGAAAAAAGTAACCGATTTCGGAAAGTCAAGTTTTCGAACTTTGACCGTTTTTCGGAAGCTTTTCGGTTTTTCTTAAAAAATACCCTATCAAATCGAAAGAAGTGGTTTCGCGAGTTTTTTCTTGCAGAAGCGGCTAATCCCGAAATTTCGTCCCGCATCAGTTCAACAAAGTCAAACGTCTTGTATACTTTTGAAATACTTGAAAAATATTATCCAAGAGTCAGATTTTGAAAAATATGAAATGTCCCAGTTTTTTTTACCGTCATTTGTTTTACACAGAAATGCTGTCATTTATTTTTTCAACCTCAAATGGTGGGGAAAGGGCAAATAACTATCAACAAAACAGCACACAAATCAAATTGAGAATAGATAGATTAAAAAAGTTGCCGGAAATTCAATTAAAAACTCCTTTGTAAATACATGCTAGCAATAATTTTCAATTTTTCTTTTTCTTCAAGCTGACTCCAGAATGTTAACGGTAAACCTCCTTCGCAATTTTTTAGTATAACATCCATGTTGTAATTTTAGAAAATTGGGTGTTCCATTTTCTTTCGCTCCGCCACGCAAAGTTCCCGGTCGATTTGCAGAGTGTGTTTCTTGATGTCAATATCTTCTTCTAGCTGCAGTTGGTTTCTAATCAGCTGTTTCAACTGTTCGCGTGCCTCAGCTAGTTGCACCTGCAACCTTCGAATGCTCTCGTTGATCTGCGCCACTTCTCCAATCAGTCGGTACTGCGGCGCGTCTCGGCACAACTCGATGTTTGGTCGCTCAGTTCGCTCGTTCAGTCGTGTCTCTGCAACCATTAACGGAGGTTGCTTCTCGGCAATAGCGCCAATCAGCATCTCAATAGTCTTCTCGACTTCAGAAATTTCGACGACAACTTTCTCGTGATGGTCGATATCTTTCTGCAAGGCACGTTCTGTTTCCTGAATGCGCCTTCGGAACGCTGCGTCCACAGCAGCGCATTGCTTGATCAGGTCTTCGCGAGTCTGCTCCAATACGCTATCCACGACTGATCTAAGATTGAGTGATGCGTTCTTGTTTCTGTCGGCTTTTTGGATGTTGTCGTGCGAGAACCGTTCCCAGTCTTCAGGTGTAACTGAGTTCGGGGTGATCTTGTCGGATCCTAGATACCGATGTGCAGCTCCTCCCGCGTCCTTGTTCGACAAGCCGTGACACTTTGTGTCGATATTAAAGGCAGAAAATTTGTCATTCAACTCTTTATCCAGGTAGTAATCGGCTGATCGACAAACTCGGATCTGCTCCTCAACCTGTTCCAGGGTTCTCTGCAGCAGTCCTTCGATACCCTGGATCATCTCCAGCTCCTTCACTAGCTCCTTCTGTGCTTCATCATGCACCAAGTCGATATCCTTTCGGTTCTCTCTGAGCTGCAGACACTTTCGGGTAAGTGCCCTGTTTCGGTCTAGATACCCGGCGAGGGAGTTTTCAATTCTTCTTTTGTAGTCCAGAAGGTTCTCGATCTCTTTGAGAGTGTCTGTTTTAATCTTATCCACTTGCCCGGTCCAGTGAGAGATGTCCGTGAGTCGCTGGTCAATTCGCTTAGTCGTCTCCTGTTGGGTCTTCTCTGTGGTCTCGGCTGTTTCGCTCACGAGTCGATCCGCTTCGGCTCGGATGTGCTCGGCGATTTTTCGGTTCTGTTCGGCTGTCGAGTAGTTCGTGTTGTTCGACAGGGTCCATTCTTCGGTTGTAAATCTCGGCGGCGGAGCTACAAGTTTGGCCATTTTGTTCGTGTTTGTACCACAGTCGCGGTTTTATTTTAAAAACAATAACATACAGCGCGTGCTGATTTTGATTATATTTGAAAGATTATGCCTGTTATTGTATATGACAACCTTTTAAGTATATTTTTATTCGCATAGAAGCACGTGCCATATTTTTGACGATAAAAAAGCAATAAAATTGAGAAGAACATTGTACCGGCATTGATTCGCTCGTTTATGAATGCCAGAACAAACACCTGTTCAAATCAGTGCTATTTTTAATTGTCTCAAACTTTTCAAAAATCAATACATTACTGTTAGACATATCTTCTAAAATCCATCATGAAAAATTTAACTTTTCCCGTTTTAGCGCCGCCAAATTAATGATTGGTGGGTCTATAGTTTTTTTAGTATCTATTTCTTTCCCCACCTGCGCATTTTTACAAATAAGATTTAGGTTCACCTAGGTCGGATTGCTATGCAAAATGGCCACGGCCAACAAATTCGGCCTCGATTAGCAATCTTATAAAACTGCTCGTTACAACACAAAAACAAAATTAGGCTCTTTTCCAGTTCCCCCCTTTTAAAATACCGAGTTTTATGTGTGTTTTACGTGTTTTTATGGCTAAATGCGTGATGTTACGATGTAAAGTATGAAGAACAAATCTGTTCACAGTCGTCGATTTGTTCACCACGCCAAATTTCATTGCATTATGACCACGTTAAATAAGCTTTCAAAATTGAATTTGAAAGGGGGACTGGAAACGAGCTCAAAATTATTACTTATAACTATAAGTGATGTGAGGGCATTAGGGAAAATGGCCCTTTTTGTTACTAGCCGGCGGTTAGGTATGAATAATGAGGGAGCTAGTCAAAAATAGAGGCTGCTTTTGTCCGCAAAAAAAAACAAACACTTTTTTCGCGGTAAAATTACACTTAAGGAGGGATTCTAGAGGTAACGCATGTAAAGTAGTAGTACGTAAAGCAAATCTAGAAATGCGAAAAAAAAACTTTACGATAAGAGCACCTCTCGACTGGAACAATCTGCCACAGGAAACAGTGCAAAGCAAGACCATCGACGAATTCAAGTGGAAACTGGACAAACATTGGAAAGCGATTGGAATTGACATGTACGAATTTGAACGGAGATAGGAAAAAAAACATTTGAAATGACCACAAGGGGCACTGCCTAATGGTAATAAAAAACTTGACTTGACTTGACTTGACTTAAAGGCTCTTTCACCGGTTCACCGCGGCCACCAACCAAAAGAAATTTTGTGCGTAAAATGCTGATTTTACTAGGTTGTAGATGAAGACCAAGTGTTTGAGTTTGGGTTTAACATGCACGGATGTTTTCAAATAATTGGGCTAAGTAAACATACATTCTATTTGATAAAATTACAGGTGGTGGGGAAGGAAAGGAATACATGAGCACACTTGACTTTTAAACTCAAACTTTTAGTGACTTGTGAACTAAGCCGGCTCTCTTCCAGTCCAATTTTTCTGAATTCGCAATGATTTTTGATGTTTGCAGACACATTTTATTGCAGTTTTGAACATCGAAGGTCCCTTAAAATAGACTTTCGTAATTCGAGTTTCAGAAAAAATCAAAGTGGATGGGACTGGTGGAGATCCCAAACTAATTGACAAATTATTTTCAATGACAGATTTAGTGGATTATGTTAACATCCTCCCCTCTAAACGGCTGTGAGGAGCGGGGAGGGGGAGGGGGGGTGTTAACTTGGTCCGATTTAGTTATGTTAAGCGGGGTTGCGTCGCGTTTTGCTGTTTATGTGCGTAACTATGTATGAGAGCGCTAAAATTGTGCGAATACTTATGTGAATTTAACCAGCCTTCTGTTAATAAAACAGGAAGCTGTTATATAACAGTAATCTGTAGGCCGTACGAAAATTCAATCAATTTTGTTTAAATAATGAAAACTTGTTGAAATGTTCGGACTTGTTTGGAATGTATGAGCGGCGTGACCGGATAAGATTAAGCTGAAAATTTCTTCAAAACCAGTCTGCTTGATAGTTTTGATCCAGCTTAGACGTGCTTCGTCTAGGTTTGGGTCTGATTTCTCTTGTATTCGAGCCGTTGGCGGAAGTTCAACAAATCGCCGTATCTACAAACCGCCATATTTTGAAGCCGAAATTACATCAGAAATACGTAAATTGCATAAGAATTATGCAACAATTGCTTTACAGCCGTGACTATCTTTTTTTATTTTGCGTAACATTATTAAATTTCGCGTCGTTGGAATGGTAATCTTGTTTTCTGTTTGTTGGCCCTTCGGCCTGTGACCGAGCCTTTGTATTTTTCGACAGCGCTTGAGGTATGTTTCTTATGGCTTTGACGGAATTGACGCTCAGCTGTAGGAAGGAATCGCAATTATATTTTAACTCAATGCTATCGGTTAAATTTCTATGATGGCTTATGGCTGAGAAAAGTAAATTATTGCCATCTGAATAGGAACGAACAGTGATAACGTTTTTTTTGCGCTTGCGACTTTAACATATGCGCTTGCGACTTTTTGCGCTTGCGACTTTTTGCGCTTGCGATTGTTTAACATAATCATTGAATCATTCCGAATGTTTGTTTTATTTACACAAGCATAGCTTGTGTTATATTATGAACTCACTTTTTTTCAAATCTAAGTCGCAAATATTGTTGCGACGCAATTATTGTTGCGAAAGTTGTGTTCATTTTGAAAGTGTTCATTTTGATCAATAACCAGCTTTTAAATACAGCCAATGCTGAGGATATAAACACAAACTGTTATATTACATATTCCTGTAAAAACAGGTATTCTGAAAATGTATAAGATCGGGTTTTTTATGACGCTTTGGAAAATTTTCGTTTTTCTCAAAAACTACTCTACCGATTTTCCAAAGAGTGGTACTACTGGGAAGTTCCGGCCACTCCCCTGTGTGCTTACATACTCCTCTATCCTCTTTTTTAAACCCTACCCCCACTTTCTACAGCCTTGAAAAAGTGTGTGGAGTGAATTTGCAAGTCATGACAGGGAAAGGCAGGGTGAAGCAAATCAGTGGAAGGAGGGGCAAAGCGGCGCAGGTTGAGCAAGGCAGGGCAGGTTGAGCAGAGCAGCCAAGTGAAAGGCAGCGCAAGCCTAGGCAGGGCAGCGCAGCACAGGGCCACGTTGGGCAGCGCATGGCAAGGAGTTTGGCAGAGCAGCGCGAAACAAGGCGGAACTGCGCATCGCAGAAAAAGGCAGGGCACCGCAAGGTAAGGCGGGGCAGTGCATGGCAGCGCTGGTAAGCGGAAAGAGCATGACAGGGCAGAGCAAAGCAAAACCAAACAGGATAGCGCACGGAGGTCGAGCAACACGACAAGGCAAGGTAGGGCAGCGCAAGGCTAGACAGCTGAGCAGGACAGCACAAAGTAAGCCAGCGCAAGGCAGCTGAATAAAAAGCAAATCAGTACAGTGCAAGGACCATAGCAGGGCAGCGCAGCGCAAAACATGGCAGGGCAGAGTAAGGGAAAGCAACGTTAGGCTAGGCAGGGCAGCGTAATGCAACGCAGAATATATTACAAATTAAGATCTTCATTATGCCTTTTTTTTTTCTATACAATACCCAGATAATTATGACCCCCTGATGTTTTAAACATGCGTCTTGAAGCTCAATTTCTTCTGCTTCTGTTTGATAAAAACAGTTTTATGAAAATGTATGGGATCGGGTTTTTTAGTCTTTTTGGAAACTTTTAAAACTTTTTCCAAAAATTTAGTTTTCCTCAAAAACTACTCAACCTATTTTCATAAAGTGGTAATAATGGGAAGTCCGCCCTTTATTCTGTGTGCCTGCATATTTCCTTAGTCTCTTTTCACCTTCACCTATTTTCTACAGCGTTCGGAAAAGTGTGCGGGGGATTTTTTGACACAGTTTCGATTTTTTTTCTACTATTTCTCATGAACTACCCTCCCAAATTTGAGATTTTAATTTCAATTGAAAGGACGCGTTAAGGGAAACTCCACTGCATGAGTGGTTACGCGCAAGTTTTTTCGCACAAAATTTAATGGCTCTCGGAACACTCAAGTTTTTGGTTTTTTGACCGTTTTTTCAAGACTTTTGTCGGAAACTACACTCCCAAATCTGAGAACTTGGGTTTAATCATTGGGTTCAATCAAAATAAAGGGTTGAGCGAAGCTCTTCTATGTAAGCGCAGCGCTCATGACCAGGTTTTCTAATAAAAAAGTTATGGCATTCAGAAAAGTCTTGTTCGTTTTTTGAAACTTTTTGACTCTTCTCGAAAACAACTCAATCTGATATCAAGGGTTTAATCGAGGCAACAGGTTTTGGAAAATCTTCGTGTGTAAAATTTTACGCCTTAAATTTTGTACAAAATTAATTTAGTTCGCGGAAATTTGCGAAATCACAAAATTTTCACTCATATTTTATAGCAACAATTAAGGTTTTGGATGAAGCCCAATGGTAAAATTTTTGAAATTACGTATTTTGTTAGCATCAGTACAACGAAGTCAAAACTTATCAAACAGGTGCCTCCAGCTTTAGCTGGGCTTCTAGCTTAAAAGATTTTGAAGTTGCCTGATCAGTTCGTTGGAAAAAATTTCAATCTTCTGCCAACCGTCTGCGCTATGAAATAACTGGAAATACTTCGAAGTATCATCCCTTGACGAGCTTGCTAAGAATAAAGTAAGTGTTTATGCACCGACTCAAGCAATAGTTTGAAATATAAGTGAGTTTCGTAGCTTTAATAGTTTTTTTGCCTGGTGATAAGCAAAGGTGTTGCAACCAGGTACTATACTTTGTTAACAAGATTTCGTTAACAACATTGTTAAGAAAGTTTCGCAGATGTATCATCTTGCTCAATAATAAGTTCAAATCAATCAACTATCTAGCGCATTTAGCGTAGAGGTAACACACCTGCTTGAGACGACAAATGATTAAGAATCGAATCCGGCTGGGACATGTTTTTTTTGTGGAAATTTTCGGTTTTTTCGGACTATTGTCGGTCTGTTTGTTTTTGACGGGTTAGTTCGTAGCACGGGCACTTTTTGATGGTTCATCTTTTTTCCAATTTTTGAATGCCATTTTTAAAAGTCCATTTGTAGAGGTAATGAGTTACAAGTTTTTTTTCGGATTTTAGTTTTAAAAAGTTTA